GCGTCCTCCATTTTATATGATAACCTATGTACAGTGATTCCAACAGTTACATTGTATTTTCCATCAAGTGAACCAAGAATTATAGTTCAGATAATATACACTTCTTGGTTGACCCAGACGGTCTTGCATAATGTCTTTGGTACTCTCACATAGCAGGTCTGATGTTCACCGGGCCTCCATCATTCTGCCTTCTGACCGAGCTCCAGGCTGCTGGACCTCAGCTCAAGGCTTCCATGAAATGTGAGGCGTTTTCTTGTCTCGATATCAGTTGCTTCTGTTTCATTTCACCAAGTTTCTGTAGTGGCAAAGGATCTGATTGATAACTGGACACATGACCTGAGGGTCATTTGGAATAACTTTTCTTAAGAACTGTTAGCAATCGGTGAAATTATCAATAAAATGTATTTTTCTGGATGCACCACATAATTTAAAAATGTAAGGATCAGTCTCAAAATGTATTGGTCTATATGTGTCAATCTGGGACAGATGTAACATACACAGAGTTTTAATGACGGTTATGAATCTGAGTACTGACATCCCTAACCAGAACTTCTCCAAATGAAGAGCACACAACTTCCCCTTTGAAATGAAACAACGGAATTTATTCCAGTTGCCACAATAATTAAATCAACATTACTTTGATACACATACTGCCTATTTGTCAAGATCTTGGGGTTTTGGTCATATTGTGGTTTGTTTCCTAGGTTTTGCCTTTGTTTTTAGTGTTTCTCTTAGCTTCCTGTGTTTTCTTTTGGCTTTCTTCTCAGTTTCCTGTGTCTTCCCCTAGTTTCTCTCAGTCTACTTCACTTCCTTCAGTTCCCTCATATTCTGGTTATTTAACAAAGTCACTTCCCCTGTGTTCCCTGGGTCAACTGCGTTTCTTCCACTAATCATACCTCCCTCTATAGATTCTTGTCAGACATATCAGTCGTTCCAGATTCTGGCTGTGTTCTCAGCACAGGTTACTCTGCCCTGGCCTGTTTCTTGTGTTTGTCATAGTTGGTTTTGGTTTTCTAGAGTGGTTTCAAGTTCAGTTGCTTTTTGTTGTAGTTTAAATAAACTATTGTTTCCCTTGACCTTCCCTTCCCCTCCCCGGAGGACTTGCTGGAGTTTCAATGCGTGTTTGAAAAATGGCACAAGGCCGTAGAAGAGGAGGAAGCAATATTCAAGAAGAGACAAACTGAGCATGGATACTCAGACAATTTAGTCAGTATTCGTGTTTTTGAGTGGTGGGACGAAAAACAAGTAGAGAAGCTCCAGCTAGGGTTTGAACCAGAAACACTCACTGTGTACAAAAATACTCAAATTAAATACAATAGACTATTTCAAATTTATTTTTTTATTTTGATTGTGCACAGCAAATTTACATCCAGACACCGTTCAACAGAATCAAAATAAAAGACACAGAAAGTAAGAAACCCACCACAGGATGAGAGTCAAACTCAGGTTGCTGCGGGCCCTGTAGGTGTTTGATTATTCCCACCTTCAACACGCCTGATTGGGATTAAATAGATCAATTCAAAACGTTCTTAAACTCTGAACATGGATTCAGGATTCAGGATTTTTGTGCATTAGGTGTGTTGAAGCAGGGAAACCTTTAAAAACCTGACGTTTAGCACTGAGATCCAGGGTTTGACCTCTCTGCATGACTGGTGAGGGTCCCATGTTTTTTATTATGAGAAAAAATATCATCAGAGCAGCTTTGGCTTGTGCTTTTGGTGTTGGGCCTGTTGACAGCATTTAGTGATGCTGACAAGACAGCATTTTAAAGGTTTTAGATAGGAGTCATAACACCAGTGAATAAAACACAATGATTCATTCATCACTTGTTTGGGGTTTAAAAAGGACACCTGTAAATAGGTTCAATACGCTTGAAATATTCTTCTTACTAAATAACTGTAAAATATTTTCCTGTAGTAATACATGGCTCTGTTAGAACCGTTTGGCTGGAAATAAAAGCTTCTTGAGGTGCTTAGAAATTTCTTTCATTTTCAGTCCATACATTATAGGGTTAAAGAGAGGATGATACATGATTAAGAGGAATGTCATCATTAAGCGCAGAGTTTTTGGAAAATCAGCATCAATATGAACTCTGATGACATCGAATGCGCACAAACAGGAAAAGTTGATTAGAACAATTAGGTGGGGCAAACATGT